GTAGAGGCAATTTAATCCACTTGTAAATTTGAAAGTCATGAAGGGGAGCTGCCAATGTTAGAAATATAGTGTAAAAAGGAAAGGAGATGGGAAGTGAAACACTAGTGTTTGTATATGAAACCCACACATTCAAACCAATATTTGGATTTCGGATCATCCTACCTTATGCCATTAGTGAAATGTTTAAGTGATAGGGCACAAAAACTAAGTAGTACCAAGGAAAATCTCAGACAGGAATTGGGGTACATAAAAGAATCTTTGGAAATTAATAATTACCCTGAGAAATGATAATGATGATAATAATACTAATGACGAAATGCATGTCAAACATGCCCAGGATAATGACAACACCGACAGTAGGGAATTCATTTCGTCAGTAATTCTTCCATACAAAGAAGGGACATCTGAAACTTTGCTTAGAATTCTCAAAAAGGCAGGAATAAAAGTGGTATTCAAACCCCCACAAACTCAATTAGAAATAAGCTTTGTCAGTTGAAGGATCCTGTGGAGACAACTAAACGAAACAATTTAGTTCAATTTGATAAAGCTATCAGCATTAAATAGGTGAAACGTCAGTAAAAGCAATATCGTTTTGTTTTTCACTCATTAGGAAGCAAAAAGAATTTTATAATATGACATCTTCGTTTATAAACTACTCCGCGATGATTATCAGATCGAATACATAAGTCAGAGCAGTAGAACAGAGGCAGTCAGACTAGCGGAGCACAAAATCTTAGCAGCAAAATCTAGATTAGTTGACTTTAATAAGATAAAATTTAAAAGCCTGATTCATGAACAAAGAACATTCTTTTCGTTAGCTTCTTCTTTTCTAGGTATTACATTTATATGACCATAATAACTTAAGAAATATTCTTATTAGTAATATTAATGATGTTTTGAATTACATTTAATCGATAGTTAGTGTTGATAGATTACATTTCAAAAACATCAGTAAGACAGAGATAATAAGCATTAGTGCACCACTAAATTGGTTGAGTATCAGATCAATTAAGGGAAGAAGGATAGGTTGAACAGAAGGCCAAGGTAATAATAGTGGCTGACTGGACTAGTTTATTTTTCACACAGAAAACTCTGACTAATTTAAGTGAATTGCAGTGGCTTTTTCTGTTTGGAGTGTTCAGTATCCAGATGTCTTTGGTAAATTATTCAATACGTGATAGATGATATGTTTGGACGAGGTGATACAATTCATAGCTATTGATGGTTTTAAGTACACCTTTATTTAGCCAAACTAATAGGTGTTCCAAAGCACGAGAAACTAGCTTCTTAGGTCAACCGACGGCCAATATAACTGGCTGCACAGGAGCGGCTGAATCGATAAATACAATCAGTTGGATGGTTTCATCTCGAGCTGATATCAGTTAGTGAACCATTGGAAAACAGCAGGAAGTACTGAACAGCTGTTTCTTCAGCCTAATTTTGGACTCTTCATCAGTACTCACCCAACACCTGGGTCTGAACCCAGGACCTTCTGACTACAAGGCTAGCGAGCTCGTAGACCAGTAAGCCCCTGGGATCCGATCCAATCGCCAGTCCAGGAATTCTAACTTCCACCAATTAATGACATAGCGTGACCACTTCGCAATATGCTCTTCGATGAGTTACTGCCTCACCTTCAACCCTATTAGTCACGGCTTCCAACTAGAACCTCAGGTCACTGACTGAATAGGGTCAGTCACTAGTGAGCATCAGATCAATTTTCAAGTATTGGTTTTGTAGGGATTGTGTTTGATTGGTTGGAGGATTTCATCATGAGCTGACATCAGTTAGAGAACACCCGGAAAACCCACCGGGGTTCGTGGGCCATTGGATAGGGTCCCAGTGGCTATATGGTCTACGAGCTCGGCAGCATTGTAACTAGAAGGTCCTGGGTCCGAACCCCGACTGGTGCGTACTGATTTAGAGTCATAAACTAAGCTGAAGAAACAGCTGTCCATTACTCCCAGGTTTTCCAGTGGTTCTCTAACTGATGTCAGCTCATGATGAAATCCTCCAACCAATCAAACAAAATCTCTACAAATCCAATACTTGAAAATACGATTGTTGTTAGCTAGCCTAGATACTTCGTCTTCCAGTTGAGGAATCACAACCGAATGTGTGGAAAATATAAGCTGTAGCTTACTGGCCTAGAAAGGTCTGCAAACCGATTCTTTCTCTCAATATATATATATATATATATATATATATATATATATATATTGAACAATAAAGGAATGCGTAGGAAACAAGATTAGTAAAAACGCCATTATTATGCGAACAAAATGTTCAGACAGACGTATTATTCCTCCTTTTTGCTTTTTGTCTTCTAAACCTTTACCTCTTACGTCAATGTGATGATTTATTTATACAAACGCAATGTTTTCACCATCCTATGAATAAACAATTCTTCTTTGTTCATAAAGTTGATTATTACTCTTATTATGATTAAATGCTCAACCTAATAGCCACTTTTTATTTTCACACTTGACAAATCATCATCATGTTTGGTGTATGCTTAATATTTATTTGTAATATCATGTATAATTAATAATAGTAATAATAATGAAAGCTATTCAGTTTGGAACAGTCAGTCGGGGAAGTAATTGGCAACGAGACAGTTAAGTCATCAGTATACCTGACAAAATTGATCTATTTCGAACAAGACAAGTCATGTAAAAAGAAGGGAAAAAGAGGAGGTAGACGAGGAGGAGAGAGAGAACAGCATCTTGAGGGATACAGGCTTCAGTAAGCAAGGAATACGAAGATTTACCTTTGTAACATACAGTATACTGCTTTCTTTCATTGTACACTAGTAACTAGTGTGCTGTGTCCAGTCCTTTGTTTGGTGCAGGCTGAATTCTATCAGTCAGCTTTGCAACTAAGGACCAAACTCGCCATACTAGTTACTAGTATGTAATGAAAGTATCTAGTACGGTCCTACAGGAGGTCAATCGAGAGAGCCCGAATAGCTCAGTGGTAACATCTCTAACTGCGGCACTGGGTGACACGGGTCCGAATCTCAGGAGAGACATGAGTTGTTCCTTCACAGTTGCAGATACGCCTTGTTGACTGGTGAGTGTCAACTAGCATGAAATCTGGGTCCAAGGCTTCGTGCTGATTGCCTCCAACCGTCTAACATCAACAATATTACTTCTTGTTTCATAAATAATAGTGCAACCAGTCAACGGTCCAGGACTCAATTGGTGTCATGGAAAGCTTATTCAATGAAAGACATCTAGGAACAGAGTCGAAAGCAGTTGTATAGTTGAGGAATGAACATCGAACATATTTAGTTCACTTGTCCAAGCAGCATCTAAAGTAAATCTCTTCTGTTTATATGCAAACTATTTAGGGTCACTGGAACTGAATAATACCTTAGTATAAATCTAACAGAAAAGAATATTGTTTGATTACGTATTTTTGTCATAAATTTATACATATATATTCCTCCATCTGATACCAACATTAGCGATGAGAAGACCTATGCTAATACTTAATTAAAACAGATACTCGTATCCAATATCTGAATATTTAAAACTAATTATATCTAATCACAATTTCTCAAATGTAGTTCTTAAAGCAGACAGCTTTTTCACTTTTGAGTACTCACCGCTGGATATAAACGACTTAAAGGAAAGAAGCATTGTTGATTGTGTCAGTCAACAAGTCCTTATCTCCTTACTTTCTCAAGTATTACAAATATTTTTAGATTTGGTAAAATACAAATGTTCTATACTTTTATTATACATGCAAATGATTGTCGGTGCATGCCGCACTTATCAGAAACAGTAAACTTCAACTTGAGACAGCATATAACGTCTAAGTAAGTACTTCATCGAAACGCTTCCCTCTCATTCATGAAGCCGACTGGACTTTCTGTTTTGTTTTCCTGTTGAAAGTGCTACAGTTTGTAGTGATGCATAGTTATATATATATACTACTTATTGTCATGAATAGTTGTATCCGCCTTAAGTTATTCACCAATGTTCAGTAACTCCATATTAAAACAAAAGCAGAAGTCAACAGTTTCCTTCTTATAGAAATTGACAGTTAAAATCACAAGTTTGAAACTACTGAAATCCCCTTAAGTAGTGTTTATCATATGTCCTGTTATATTTCGTAATACATCGACAATGAAATATGGCAAGCCGAGTTGGACACAGACGCGTTGATACTGAGTACTGTTTGACTACACCAACAACATTTGTATGACAGCTATCTGTTTCCCTAGCCCATACTACTTAAATGAGAACAGACCACAACTTGAGCCGAATTAGTGTAGTGCATGATTCAAAATATCACCAATGATATGTCAGTCAGTTAGTCTACAATCCTGATCAAGAAAATAGTGGGCGTTATTTGACTAAGACTAATTCTGATTGGTTTATTTTCAGACTGGACATCGATCACTTACGTAGGCCAATTCTGATTGGCTAATTTCCAGACTGGACATCGATCAGAATATCACCTATAAAAGATAATCCATTTCTTTTATCTGTCTACATATCACAACTTTCAACTGATCTCTGATCCTGAATGTTATTATACACTTTCGCCAGCTAAAAAGTGTTTAATTCTCAAAATGAGTTTACATTAGAAATTCACATCTAAGCTTCATGTAGTCATATCGAACTCTCCTTGTCTCTCTCTCGGTACATTCTGTACGAACAAAATTACCGACAATAGACAGACCTCAAATGAGTTAAATTACTATCTGAAAACGCTCAATAGTGAATATTCATTGTTTAGGTGGTTATGAAATTTGTATGTGAGTGTGTGTTAGGAGGGACATATGATTTTTGATTTTATCTCAATGTATGGGATAATTTCAAGATACCAGTTGGTTATGGTGTCGTGTCTGGAGGTGCACTATAGTTGAGTTAGACGAACCAACAACCTTCATAACATATTTTGGTGCCGGGTTCATAAGATTTTGAATACAGAGCATATATTTTCATTCCTTAAACACTCCTAATTTTGCTGGTTTCTGTCTCCTTCAGGGATGAAAATCAACTGCACTGGAAAACTAGTGGATATGAAGCAAGAATAAATGTATCAGTTATCGCACTGAAGGACTATGAATCTATGTCTGATGATGTGATCGCCCTGCGTCAAACAGGTAAGTTGCAAAACAAAACGGAAATTTTGCTAAAAAAAAGAAATAATAATTTATTTCAAAGTGAAATAATTTGTGTTAATTTAGTGGGTGATAACCAACACTGGAATCCAGGATATCCATTTCATCCTATTTGCGACTCATCAACTGAATGGTGGTCACAACCAACATCCATCTTTTCAAACTCTATCGTTAAATGAGGCTTTCAGGTACATTTAGCTGACAAATCCTAAATAAGATGAATGCTGAAAGTAGTCACTATCAATCAAATCACATCACGAAAAGTCGTAACCAGAGGTGTCCATCAAGTCAATTAAGAGAACAGCTACTCGCCGATGACATCGCCTGGTGGTTGCACTATACATATATGTCGTGAACTAGCAGAAGTAGGAATTCATAGGCCATTGGATGATGTCTCAGTAGATGAATAGCCTACGGGCTCGCCTAGTAACCAAAAGGTTTTGAATTCGAACCCCAGTAGATGGGTACTGATGAAGAGTTTCGAACTAGGACGCAACAGGCATCCAATACTCCCTTGTTTTTCACTGGTTATCTAGTTGAAGTAAGTACGTGATCAGACATAAAAACGATGCAGCTGTTTACATCTAAAGATACTGATCAAAGCATATCGTACGAGTGTCCATTTTTGTCACCAAGCTAATCATCATGACATTTTCGCTTACTGTTTTTGCAGTCAACGTCAGTTGAATAAGTTCATGATTGGAACGCTTCAGAAGCGACGAACTATGAGAGTGCCAACATGTGAAATAGATAACTTCATACAACATTTGGTTGCCTTGATAAATGTTGATAAAGAAAAAAGGCCAAATTTACAGTATCAAATGATATCGCATTGTATTTTACAGGTTCTCATCAGCTGCAGACTACCTGAAATTAAGGTGGTTATAAATAATGACGGCAACACACTTCAGTACTTGAATGGTAGTAGAGAAAATATTATAAAATTAACGCATCTGATGTATAAGTATTACAGTCTTTAGTTTAAGTTACCATCAATTTATATGCTTCGAGAATAAAAAAGGAGAGGTGGGACAAAGACAGAAAAATCTAATAAACAGTGCTAGCATGTGGGTTTACATATCAACTCAAGAAGGTCATAGTTCAGAATATTGAAAACTTGCTCAGTTAGCTAAAATCACTAATGCAGTTACCAAGGGAATGAGAGATTGATTACACTCTCTTTCTGTGTATGCATCAGTTTGGTTTGAAACATTTGATTGTAATCGCCTTACTAAATCGTAATAAATCTTCCGGTATTTTGTATGTTTAATATTTTGAAGCATTTAGAAATCCCAGTGAAATGACTGGAGGTATCTACAAGGTGTGTGGTAGGCTGCACTTTGCAAATATCTGCTTCCTTTTAGACATAAGTTCCTTAGGATGGGAACAGAAAAACAGATAGAAGCCCTTCCTTCTATCCTTCCAATGTACTTGCACGTAGATTTATAAACGAAATTGGATTTAACATCAAGGTGCTTATCCTGTATAGATTGGCTTATAGAGCATGTGGTACTGTGAAGTGTTACGAACTTAGCTTCAGAGGAGCATCTGTCTATTGTTCCTCTCAATGTCTTGTCAATCTTTTGTGAGACTGCTTCTCCTTTGAAAGGGAGATAAATAAACACTGTCTTTATTTTCCCCAACTACTGAGTGTTTCATTTTCTCGTTTCCTTTTCTTTCTTACACATTTTGGGATAAATACCTCTGAATACCGATTTGCCCTTAGGTGTATTTCTCAGCAGTGCCTAATTCTTCTTCTGGAATGTTGGGTGAACATAGCTTTCTAGCTGTGTCATACAATGTCCTCACTATTCCGCACTTACAGGTGATAGGATAAAAGCTGTTATAGTCAGATTTCATGATGGACGATAATTTTGCTTCACCATCTAAGAATGCGTAGACAGAAAGCTTTGCTTTCTTTTAAGTTTGAAACAAACTTATAGCCAGCTAGGAAAGAAAAACAAGGAACATTTCAAATTTCTGTATTGATTAGTGCTACATATTTGTAAACATTCTTTTCAGGTATATAACTCTCAATACACTACTATATAAATACATGAATAGATTTGAGCATACTCACTCTTAAAATATGGTTAAGATATGTAGATGATACTTTTCTAGTGCTAAAACGAGATCTACACAATTCATTCCTAAAGAAAATAAACTGTCTACCTCCCAGAATCCATTGTACTTCGGAAGCAGAATCAGACGTCGGTGAACTACCATTTCTAGACTGCATAGTTAAGAAAAAGGAAAATGGACATTTTAGTATATCCATATTTAGGAAGAAAACCCACTCCAATAAATATTTAGACTTCAAATCATCACATCCCATCAGCGCAAAGATTTCAGTTGTTTCAAGTCTTCTTAGACGAGCACACTCTCTGATGTTAACAGATGAGAAAGAAAAAGAAGAAGAAATATCAAACATTACTGAAACTTCATCAACAAAATCAACACTGACATTAAGTATGGTCGAAAACGCATTCCGAAAACATGGACCTCAACAGTTGTCATTCCATATAGAACAGAGACGTCAGGCGATATAAGAAGAGTACTCTATAAGCTCGACATCAGAGTTTTCTTCAAAAAATCAGATACACTGCGAAAAAACTTTGTCCATATAAAAGACCAAATCCCTGGAGATTCTCTATCTAATTGTATCTATAAAATGAAATGCTTGCAGTGTGATGCGATATACATCGGACAAACATCTCGAGAAGTCAAAATCAGAAGAAATGAAGACCGTAGAGCATCTGTTCGACCACCCAGAAATCCAAGTGAACTGGAAAAACTTGAAAAATCATCAGCCATAGGTAGTCTACACGCGATAGAATCAGGCCACAAAATCGATTTTGACAACATTGAAATATTCCAGAAAAAAACATTCAGAAATCACAAAGAACGTCTAATATCAGAAGCACTTCATATCAAGTGGAATCCAAATTGTCTAGTGAATAGTAATGATGGACTAAAACAGAATCTGACCTGGCTACAACACCTCCCTCCCCCATGAAGTGACAAAATCAACACGAATGTGATAAGCAAGTTCACTATGTAAACACACACTACTTTTATAATTTCATACACTTATCAAATCCAACAATTACACTTGGTTTTGTTATCTTTACCAATTGACCAACTTGACAACGAAAAATGCCCCCAGACTGAGGAACGATGATCAAGTTAGTAAACTTTGTTTTGATACCATAACAGATGTACTATTACCTTAGTCATTTGGTTTAGTGATATTCATTGTTATTTTGACCTTCGATATGTCCCTTTATCTTGACCTAAGTCTATTTTCTCACATCCTAACTCTTTGTTATATATATGCTGAGTGGATTTTGTAAATTCTGGTTTAATAATACTTTGATAAAGCTATTAGCATTAAATAGCGAAACGTCAGTAAAAACAACGGTAACGTTTTATTTTTCATTCATTCACTGGGAAATACAAGAAAACCTTTATTATAATGAATATCATACCCCCAATGCCCAAATTTTTTCAAACTGTTAAAAGTTAACTTGGTTTGGACATATATAAATACAAAACTGGTTGAAAATCTTCTTAGACCTCGTTATTTTTTTCAAAGACGGAAAAGACACATGATATTTCCAACTATTTTAAATTAATATGACTTGTATTCACAAAGTTTTATGTTATAAAAACATTATTTTCTTTTTCATCTCTTTTTTTTATATTTATCAAAGCTCTGTCTTTTGGTGTGATTACGGCAAAATATGATGCCGATTTATCAACTATACGTGATAGTATTATTCAATTGAATAACACTCAGGTGAAAGGCAAAAATGAAGATTCTAATGGTGTGAACATAACTCATCATCACAGTACAACATTGCATTTATCGGATTCCTGGGTTTTTATTGATTGTAAGTTGCAGTTAATATATATGTTTTTCAAGTATTGGTTTGGTAGGGATTTTGTTTAATTGCATGGAGGATTTCATCATGAGCTGACATCAGTTAGAGAACAGCTGTCCAGTACTCCCAGGTTTTCCAGTGGTTCTCTAACTGGTGTCAGCTCATGATGAAATCCTCCATGTAATATATATGTATCAAATAGTGATTTCGAAAGTGTATGCGTTTTTTTTAATGATTTTTCTTACGAGTGGAACGTACTTGATGTATTCTATTAAATTTTGTCGAGTCCTGAGTAAGTGGTTATGTTGTGGTGGTGTGATACAGACAATGTGTTCCAAGGGAATATTATTCTCACATATTCTCACAGTTCCCTACGGCATCAGCAACAGAATACTATGTATATTTGAAGATTCTATTTCATGTCGTTTAATGTAAGCCAAAATCACACGATCAGTGATTGCTAAAGAATATAAACAGCGGTTTGACCAATGAAAAATATACCTTGGCTTCCGTGTTTTGCCTTTTCTGTTACAATATGACTTGACTGATAGTATTACTATTATGAGGTGTTTAGAGGCTGTCGGCAGGATGCTCAGCCTGAACTAGGTTATGTGTTTTTTGGCACTCATCATCAAGAAGTATTTGCAGCACTGAAGGAACTCATGTCCCTTCTGAGACTCGAACCGGGGTCATCTAGTGCTTCAGTCAGAGACATCACCACTGAACGATTCGATCTGCTGATTTACCCCCTGTAGAACTGTAATATCTGATGCCAGGCCTCCAGTTCTTCTTTTAGTCAGTGGCGAACTCGAAGAACTCAGTAGTAACATGTTTCTGACTGCAGCTCTAGATGGCCAGGGTCTGAATCTCAGAAGGGACATGAATTCTTTCAATACTGACTGATGAGTGGCAACAAGCACAAAACCTGAGTGTTAGCCAGGGCTTCCTGCTTATTGCCTTCAACCATCTAGTAGGAACAATAATTCACAGTGCACTATGATGACAACCCATCTAGTAGCATGCTGACCACATTAAAAATTTGATTCATAGATTCACCAAGGACTGGATGCATGACTTTAGCTACTCCACCTAGTACACAATCAAAAGTTTGTATGAATATTCATCACATCCCTTATGTTCATCAACGGAAAAATAGAGTAGATTGAAAGACTGAATCACCAATAAATCCCGACACTGAAAGACTTATGAAGTGTGCTATCTGATATCAAGTGGATCCTCCTTATGAAAGCGATAATTCTGTTTTGTTATTACTTTATAGCTGCTCAAACACCTTTTCGACCAAGCTTTCTCTGCTAATTCTACTGATAAGATTACTTATAAATACTAATGATAATTCCGGAAAGAGTTAACAATAGATACCAAAGCCAAATGACCTTGAACTAGCCAATCAAATTCTTCCAGGTGAAAAGTGACATTTATTGTATAAAAAAGTGAATATTTATAAGATATATATGGAAGAAAAATGAATTACACGGGGTATGTATCTATAATATGTGTTATGACTGAACGGAACTGACCCGCCACCAATTTGTTAAACTGAACAGAACTGAATAGACCCTTTCGCTTCCTTGTTATTTCTGCGCCTGTTAATTGCTATAACGGTAATGAACTCGACTAGCACGCTAATACGTCTGTTTGTCCATTGTACCTTCCGATTCACTGAGCCATGCAAATATCAAAAGACAAAGGTTGGACTGTGCCTGTAGGATACTGTATTGTACTGCAAATCTATTAGGAAACAAAATATCATAATTATATACTTAATTTATCACAATATAGCTGGCTCAAGACCTTAGGAATGGACCGTTCTTATTGGCTGGTAATGTCTATTCTGATTGGTTGGTGGGTGATCCGACAAGGACCAAGGTGAGACAAAAGACGATGAGTTGATCACACACACACTAAATCGCAATATGCGTGAGAAGTGATACATTTTTACATAGTAACTCCATGATAAGATAAATCACAGGATTTGCAAGAAAGGATGATATACTATTTTATGCCAGGTCCTATCAGTATCCTGCAATAATCAGTCCCAGTTTCTCAAAGAAGTGTTTATAGGCATATCAAACCAATGTCGATACAAAACTCATATCATATCACTTCGGGAACCATTCACCCTTCTAATATTGTTTTCAGATAGGTCAAGAATCTTTCAGTAGGATTTGTATGAGTTCCATTTAAAGGATTCACTAATTCACAAGAATGATCGATTTTATGATGGATATAGCCTAATGATGACAGTTACAAAATAACCTTTCTGCTAGTCTGTGTCAATGACGATGTCTGAGAGGACTAATCGTCGTATTATTGGTGTTAAACCATCGGCACTTCTGTTTGGGATGCGTTCTACAAACCCTTTTCGAAGATTTGTGTCGTACAGTCCCAGTGCCCAAACATGATTTGCTGTACTCCTACCACGATTCCTATTTTCGTTTAATAAGTATCGTTTCTTCAGTATAAACAATGACACCAATTCCTCCAAATATACAAGTAATTCCATTGATCTTTTGTGAGGCAATGTGACGAAAGTGAAGATACCACTGCGCTGTTGACATTTTAGTATTCTCTGTTTCCGCAACTGTAACAGATCCTGGTCATTTCAGTAGCCGATTGCGGCATATGCACAATATTTTGCTAAGGAAGAGTTTCTATTTCGTAAAAGTATCTAAGACAATCACTATAATGTACAGCCTACTGACTCTTACAGTGATTATATATGAATGCATGGCCACCATCAATAGCCCAATAATACCTCCGAAGGGTCATTATTCCCCCCTCAACCACATATGCGTGTTTTATTCCTCCCTATCTACACACAGAAGCCAAAAACCAAATTTCATCATGAGCTGTCATTGGTTAGAGAACCACTGGAAAACCTGGGAGTACTGGACAGCTACTTCATCCTAGTTTGGGACTTTCCAGCAGTACGCACCCACCGGAATTCGAACCCAAGACCTTCTGGTTACAAGGTGACCTCGTAGACCATTAAGCCACTGGGAACCAATCCAATGGCCAGTCCATGATTTCTAACTTATGCCAATTCATGACGTGGCGTGACCATAAGCCAATGTCTTGGGCGAATATTTGTCCTCACACTCGACCTGCTGCACCCTATTGGTCACGACTTCTCACTAGAACCCCAGGTAACTAACTACCTGAATGGGGCAAGTCGCTAGTGAGCATCTCATTGATATTCAAGTGTTTGTTTGTAGGGGTTTGATTAGTTACAGGACTTCATCATGAGCGGAATTCATGGGCCATTGGATCGGGTCCCAGTAGCTTAATGGTCTATGAGCTCGCTAGCCTTGTAACCAGAAGGTCCTGCGTTCGAACCCTGGCACTGTGTGCGTACCGATGAAGAGTCTCAAACTAGGCTAACGAAACAGCTGTCCAGTACCCCAAGGTTTTCCAGTGGTTCTCTAACCAATGTCAGCTCATGATGAAATCCTGTAATCAATCAGTCAAATGCCTACAAACCAACACTTGAATATCAAAAACTAAATGAACAGCGGTCATTTGTAATGCTGGGCAGCGATCTGACTGACCGACTCAAGGTCATTTGTCTATGGCATCTATTCTTTACTCTAGCCATAATTCTACTGTCCTATAATCTTAGCTTTTAAAGTGAATAAGTGAAAATATTTTCCTGTCTCACATATCTCCTCGTGCGTCGGTGGCTTAGCGGTTAGGACGCTCGCCGACCATGCATATGGTTCAGGGTTCGATCCCCGGCCGACGCACTCCTTTACCTCGCTAAGCCAGAAATAATCCTGGTGAAGAGTAAAGGTTGGGCATAAGGCTAGCAACCCCATCCTGTAAAATAAACACTGCTACCGAAACTTCAAGCCACTAGCTTGAAGCCCTAAATTCCACTGGGGAACGTGAAGAAAAAAGATCTCTATGCCTTAATTTTTCATCATTTTTTTCGTTATTTCAGTTTTAATTACTGAAGATTAATCACACTGCTGATTAATTTTTTATTCTTATGCCTTTTAAACAGAGAGAGATGATATTTTATCTTTTATTTTTCACCTAAAATAATACTCAAATTAATTATCACCGTAAAGAAATGAAAGATTCTCATTTACTCAAATTTTAATAATCAATATTGTTAATAGATATTCTCTTCTGTTGTACTATAGTTTATCTCTAAATTCTTTTTGTCTGTTTGTTTGTCTGTTTGTGCATTCTGTGTACTACTCTTTTCATGCCTTCAAAATAACTAATGTCCTTCTTTCTTTACTCTATAAAAAAGTGTTTTAATAACCATAGTAGTAAGAATCAATAATCTCTCTCTGAGTATGTGTGTCGTCTTTCTCTATCTCTTAGTGGCACTGTCACTATTTTGTATCACAAATATACTTCATTCATTCATTCCTTCTTTTGATTTATCTTTACTAAGTATTAGTAAAAGTAGAATTCATGCTAAACAGTCTTGTGTTATGCTTATCATTACTATCTGAAAGTGAAAGTAGCATTTAAAGGCCACTCTGTGCTTTCCTGTATCGATTGATTATTCTACTTGAAGCTATTCATCAATAAAATGCATAATGATCTGAACTGATAGATGTATGTGCTTGTGTGTGTGTGTGCATGTGTTCGTGTGTGAGTATGCTCTGATTTGATAACATATTGTTGTGATGTTTCATACTTATTTATTGTATTGTTTTACTAATGAATTTAGTTTCATTATATGCATATACAGAAAGGCACATACTTATAAGGCAACTTGGACAACACCCGATGAACTGGTTGATTTAAATTGCGAAGCTTTCGTTGCCCCCACGCGGACAACATCGCTACGGCGCAGGGTTTAACATAAAATCCCAGTGTGTGCGTACTGCCGATGATTCCCAAACTAGGATGAAACAGCAGCTGTCCAGTACTCCCTGGTTTTCAATGGTTCTCTAACTCATATCAATCCGTGATCAACTCGTAAAAAATAAACTTATGTAAATTCTCCACGAATAATGTAATTGTATTTCCTGGCCTCTGTTGTGATTGGTTGTTAATTCACATTTCTATTGATCATTTTTATTGACTCGAAGTTTAAAATTTCTTCTCATGTGATTTATTACTGCATGGTTAAGTAAAAGACAAACAAAATCTATTGGTATCACTATTCTATCCCATCTTGTGGATACAGAACACAAGACTGATGTCAACAAGGCAGCTTTCAAAGTCACTTACCACACACCAACTAATCTTAACTTCATCTTAAGAGTTCGTCTACTACATAAATCTGAGGCTGTTGAGATACACATTAAGAAAGCTAACTTATGTATCCAAAAGAAGTTGGTTCAGACACTGTCCTTACCTTGGCCATCAATCAAGGTTTCAGTGATCCTTAATTTGTTGTAAGAATCTCCTTAATTTTATTTGATATTCTATTTACTATTGTAACGACAGAATACAAGGGTCAGGCAACAGATCGTTTATTGAGAAAATCAACAGATATTTATAGATTGTTATGTACATTATTGTCAGCGGAGAAGCAACCACTTCTGATTGGTTGTTTTCTTGCTGAAGGTTATCCTGTACTGCTTGTGACTGTTTCTTAGAAAGTTAAGCCATATGTCTGCGAATCCTATTTGGACAGTTTGTTTGTTTCTTTCTCATGACTCCGATTCGGGACGTAAACATTGACGTAAATTGCTGTCTATTATTTTGGCTTGCAGACAGCTCTCACCACACTATTACATTTTTAAGGCTTATTATATATGTATATATATTTTCAGCCGGGAGAGGAAATTATCGAAAGGAATATTCTTTGCTCAAATTTTCTTTTGTCAGAATGATGAGTACTTGATCTCCTGAATTTATCGGAAAACTTTTACCCATCTTTCTTAGAAAATAAATTTCAATGAGTTGTATTCACCTTACTATTACTGTAAGATTAAGCTTTACACCTTTTTGTTATTATCACTTTAGCTACTACAGCGGCGTGTCGATTTTTTCTGATTGATAAAGAACAAGAAAAGGTACACTTTATAACAGATGTCTGTAATATGGAAGATTTATTTCTAATTGACTCCCAGTTAGAATCTCGTCAGGTGAATCATACAATGAATGACAGCCTATCACCACAACAGTCTTCTCAGCATAACCACCACAACCACAGTCACCACCACCAAGAAGAACAACCACAACAGGGACTAACACCTGACGACTGTGAATCCGTCAATAATCAGGTGACAGAAACACAGGACAGTGTACTATTCAAGGCAGAGGAAGTTAATGCAGCTGTGCGCAATGAAGTTGAACAAGTAGACACCAGTGAGTTGAACATTAAATCAATCAAAATTAAGGTAAATTTGATTAGGAAACTATGTTCTAGCTGTTCATCTTCTCGGTCTCTTTTTTGGTTATTTCGGATTAGATGTTGTGGTTTCGTGTTCCTCTCTTGTTGTTGTTGTTGTTGTTGTTGATGTCTGTTTGGTGGTTTGTTTGTTTTTAACAAACTTCTTTTGTTATCGATGCCTAACTGTTTATATATATAATACTTACTATCGCTGATGATATTCCTAATTGTAGTGTATTGGATTATGAGGAAGTCTGTACGTGGGGAGCAAGAAGACATAAGTACGTTCTATCGAGAAGAAGACTGGGAGACCTGTACTTCATGGATAATTTGTTTCTAGTGTCACAAACTCGAAGACTTATATGAGAAAAAGGATAGGTTTTCAGACGAGGGTGGCAACAAAGACATGACTTCAAGCGAATATAGAGGAAAACAACAACAACAAGAACCAATCACCATCAATGCAAGAAATTCTTAAAGGGTCACCTCCTTCACTAATTTAGACAGCACCGTTTCAGCTACAGGTAGACGGAACGGATCAGGATATCAAAACCAGAATCGAAAAGGCAAGAAAATCCTCATCAATTTGAAATCATTTTGAAAATCTTCTGCACTCAATATAAACAACGAACTTTGGATTTTCAGCACCAATGTCAAGTCAGTCAGTCACTTCTTCTATATGAGTCAGAAATTTAATGAGCGTATCATGGAAAGCAATTCCAACAGATTATTAGCAGCTGCCACCTTCGCTAGCTCCATACTGACAATAAAAATGGCTGGTCAGAAGGAATCAGTAACAAACAAAAAAATCTGGGAATGAACTAGTCAAGAATCTATCGCCCAATGAATATTCCGACTTGGAAATATGTATAAGAGCAGAAAATGATTTGCATGAGTTATGCTACAAAGATCAGATTAGATCAATAGTAGTTATCTCATAGTATTCTTGTATTTTCCTTTGGAATTTCAAATATATTTAATAGCAATCCTTAAGACTAATAAATTTATATTATAATTATTATTGTTCCCTTGGGTTCCCAGTGGAACATAGGGCTTCAACTGCACGTCTCCACTTGCTTCCGTCTTCTGCTGTACTTTTCACTTGCATCCATGTTACTCCATACTGCTTCAACTCCTCTTCACACTATCTCCTCCATGTCACCCTTGGACGTCCCACTCGCCGCCTCCCTTTCGGGTTCCACTCGAGCGTTGGCCTGACGCGCGATGTCACCCAGCGGCCTCCTCAGCGGGTGTCCAATCCATCTCCACTTTCTCCTGCATATTTGTTGAGCGATTGGTTCTTGTTTTGTTTGTTCCCATAGTTTCTTGTTGGTGATTCTTTCCGGCCATCTGATCTTCAGTATAGAGCAGAGACAGTTGTTGATAAAGATTTGCAACCTGTTGGAAATATTCTTTGTGACCCGCCAAATAAATTTATAGCTTCGTTGAAATTTATTAAAAAGAAAAAACTTTTCTCTGTTTGAATAAAGCAAGAACGACAAATATGTACGAGGATAATCTGAGCTCATTTTTTTAAAATTTTTACTGTGTCCTGGATCCTTCTCAACTGGCTGCATACAACCTAAACAGTATCAAAATTATAAATTAAATTAAAGATCTGAACATACTGTCTTATACATTGATAAGGAGTAAATGATTGGAACTAAGAGTAACATTGGTCAGAAATGATGTAAGTTGTTGAATAATTAAGGCTGAAAAGGATCGACTATTTATAGAAGAATTGCATGATTAAGCTTGGAAACAAAATGACAGCAAAGTTCCACAGATGTTTTGTCAGTAGAAATAAAGTTTGACTAGAAAGAGTATAAAAAGTAGCAGGTTATGTAATCAACACCGGAAAACACGTTTTTATAAAAATAGACCAAAAAAGGCAGGTGGGTTGAGGCATGTTTAGACAAAAGTATCAAGTTTTCTAAACAGAACAGGAGGAGATAAGGTAGCTAAATTTGTATGTTTTCTTATCACCAAGGCAGTTCAAGATTCATCACTGTCTCTTTATAGGTATATAGATTTGGTTGTGAAGTTTTAACCAACCAGTGGATAGATATCATCTCAGGGATAAGATAAACTATACGGCGAAATATAAAGACTATCAACCATAGAGTGGGAACGCATCAGTGATCTTGAATGCATAGCATTTGTTGGATTACAAAACCTGCAGCCGTATATTCTACATAAAAAGGCTGTTTATTTACGAAAAAACCAACATAGTAATGATCATAATAATGACATACATTATAGACAATATTTTACCCTGACAAAACTGAGAAATACTTTCCAGTTACAGTGAAGGTCATCAGTTTTCAAGTTCCATAACTATCAAAAAGGTTTCACGTATGTGAACAACGAAATACTCCCCTCTCATTTATTTATTTACAAGAAAAATACAAGGAATACTAAAACATCGTAACCCTAACCGTAACCACGACCCTACATCTAAAGTGTTATCAACTCATTTTCCAAACAGTACTTAAACACGAAATAAGGATAAAAGTCGCACAATATTTCATGTACAGCGTTCATAATGGCGATGTAATAATACAGGTCCTATGTGCATCTGTGGTTCAGCGATAAAATGTTTGTCAACCATGCACATGGTCCATAGTTCGATTCTCGGCAGGCAAACAACTTTACCTCCCTTACTGCACTGACTGGTTTCATTGTAGGATTTCGCATAGATGTGCACCAGTTCGAGTTGCCACACTCCATCCATGTATCACATAAAGCAAGAGAAGAGAGTAAATAGAGACCCAAAAGAGAGATTATAAACAGAAATATGAGGCGAAAATAACAGTAAAATGAGAGAAAAATAGAATTTTGTTGAATATTTTAAATTACAAGGAGTGAATGCATCTGCACTGTTCATTGAACCATATTACCAATTGTCCCCATCCACTGATTTTTACAATCCTGAGGAACCCAACCAGTCAGGAAATCTACACCTCCCTACGTGGATGGCTGGCTTAAACTAACTGTTATGGATTTCATTGACTGATGAAGCCACATTTTCCAACTTGATCGATACTATGTCAGCTAACATTACCCATTGTCGAGGAAGGCGGTGGCTAGGGATGCATGCGTAACATATCTCCTAACCATCTCAGTCAATGTAACTTCCCAACCTCGTCGATTAATTTCCCCTCCTTACCTAGCACTCGACGGAAGCCTAGCCTCAATATGACCCACCCTATCATATCACCTAACACGGGAGATAGAACGCAGACACCTTTGATCAAAGACCATCCTTAGCTAATTGCAAGCTCAATAAAGAAGGAAGGTTAGGCGTGAGGCTAGAAAACCCACCCAGTAAAACAAACACCATTGCTACTGAAACTTTAAGACTTCAGCTTGAAGCCCTGTGTTCCACGCGAAAAGCAAAGAAATGTCACAATAAATAAATAAATAATATAATCCAACGAATGGCGTGCGTCCAGGGTCACTGGTGCGTTCCCACTCCATGGTCGCTATTCTTTAGATTAGCCAGTTATACATACACGTGAGATAATTTCACTCATATTTTGTTTGTATTTTAATCAAAATATAAAACAGATATATAATAAGGCAGGAAATCCACAGTGAAACTAAGAGCATCCTACGTTGCTTGAATTAATTAGTCAAGGTTAAGGTAGATATGAAATCGTTTTCTTTCTCCTCTGGTCAGTATTAGACAAGTTCCATATTACAGTTAAACCTTCTAATTAAAAAAAATGATTATTTCTTTGTCGACACCGACATAATATAGAAATATCCTACTTATTTTTCTCAGAATATGAAATTTATCTGTTTTCAAAAAAAGGATCATCCATAAGTATTATAACGGACCCTTTTATTCAGGGAACACACACCATATACAAAGATCGCAGCCACATTTATGGTAAGCTAAGTCAACGGATAATAAACCGTTCTGATTGGTTATTGATTTTTGAAGGCTAAACCCTGAGATTATTTTCTCATCACAACGAAAGCTAGAACCAGATTTGAGAAGTAAATGCATCTATCGTGACAGCTGTCTGTAAGCCAAAATTGTAGACAACAATTTACGTCAATGTTCACGTCCCTAATCACAGTCATGAGAAAAACAAGTAACAAAGCATAACCTTGAGAAAATCACCAGCCAATCACAGTGGAGTTAAAGTGTGGAAATCTGATTCACAGATATATGACTTGATTTTCTGAGAAACGGCCACAAAGAGATAACAGAATAACCTTCAGCAAGAAAACAACCAATCAGAAGAGGTTGCTTCCCTGCTAACAATAACGCTAATAATAATGCACACTAAAATCTGTAAATACCTCTTGATTTTCCTAATAAACGATCTGTCGCCTGGCCCTTGTCTTCTGTCGTTACACATCTACTTCTGTAGCCATTGACTTCAAGTGTTGTCTTAGATTTTGACTAATTCCTATCAGTCTGCGTCTATACACTGCTGATAAAACTTGTCAGTAGTACATGCCAAAATATCACGACAAAACGCCAACTAAGGTTGTGTGTACTTTGAACTAAACTATTGTGGTGTGATGCAGATTTATTAGAAGCGGCCTAAAGTCAATGGCTAGCTGCAGACGTAGAGGTGTTTATTCCTCTAAATCTGTATTTAGCAGTTTACGTTATAGGGGTGAAATAATCTCATTGGACAACTTGTTTAACAGCTTGGGCCAATCGCCAGCCAATCAGAATAATCTAATTTATTCTCCTCTGACCATGCTGACCTTTAATGTGGCTAAGAATGTACAAATAATGACGTGGTTTTTTATTAAACAAGGATCCCGTTACCAAGTCTCTTAACTCCACCCGTTACACCATGACAAGTCCATGTTTAACCAGGACCAGACCACTATTTATCTTGCATTGAAAGGGCAGTATTGTTATTTGTTACATTCGTGGATAAAAGACGACCATTTATTCATTAGTATTTTGAACACCATTCAAGAATCTCACGAAATTTATGAAACTATTTTTGTTGCCTCTATTGATTTCAACAATAAAGAAATTATTTTCTTTGTCTGTATTAATTCCAGGAAGGGTCAAGCATCCATTCAAATATTGAAGATGGTAATGAGAACAATGTGACTTGCATTCATGAAACTAAACTGCAAAATGACAGTCTAACGCCTAATGCAAAGCCAGAAAATTTCATACAGTGAGTTAGATTCGACAGATAGATAAATGGATAAATAGGTTCTATGTTCTCTAGAGTATTAATAATTTGGCTAAATGAATTTGAAGATATGTAAAAAGAGCCTCTCCCTGTTACTAACAGAATACACTCTATATAGTACGTCAATGCTCAGCGAATGCTCATGAGCCACACGGAAGGTTTGAATTTGATGTCCGGCCGACGCACGCCTAAAACTAATATGATCGGCGATACAACCAGGTAGTTTATGAGTCTCTTGGCGCTAAGGAACTTTCCTACCTAGTAGAGTAGATATTTAACTTACTGTTTAAATCACAGGCAAGTTAAACTTGAAGCACAACTAACTATCAATAGAGTACGACCGCAACATTGGCCTTGAGTGGTTCATTGGGATTTATTCACATAAGTTTAAGCTTCCATTCCGCTTGGTTTGAGTCAGTTACCAGCTCTAACGCAGTTGCTGATGATTCTAATATTTCGTAAAAATATTTTTTGCAAGGTCCCATCCATCCCTAACCCAGAATTTTTATATTTGTAATTACTGGGTTTTAAAACAGCCTATGGGAGGTGCAGCTGCTGAAACTGGAAACAGTCTTGCATCAACAGTTCAGTGGTACCAGAAGTGCGGAGATGTAGCATCCTGAGGGGAAAAGAAAAGAACAATGATTTCATCTATCTATGTAATAAAACTGGACTCAGCAGTGGTGCTCGTAAGAAACAAACCCCGTGAAAACTAGTCTGGTTTAATATTTACTACCTTGTGTTTTCTATGGTGCAGATTTCATATCCGTCTATCATTCATAAGACATTTGTACTGTGCAGAAGTTTTCTCCGTCCTCTTTTACATCTTTCTGATATGAGGCTAAAATGGGAACTATACAAAGCTTCCTTTTCGTATATCGCACCACACTAACGAAAGACCAGATAAACTCGTGGTGAGATGAATGCTACCAGGGCACCACCACTCAATGTTGCAACCAACAACATCAACCAGGAAACAGTGTGGGGTATTTATAAAAGGGAAATTCCGTCTACCCTTGTGACTGTCAAAAATGAGCCGAAGGTTTGATAGAATGTCAGCGTTAGATTCCTATGTTCGAGGATGAGTTTGGACATGAAAGGTGGATAAAACGTCAAAACCAGATGAGAGATCGACAAGCCACATCCTCAGAATACAAGCTACCAGCTACCAACAGTCAATCGAGAAACATCCCAAAAGAACTCCTAAGTTGAAAGGGAGATTTTACCTTGCTGTTGCTCCACTGGCAAAAGATCACAAACAGTATGTTTTCAAATCGACCCAAGGAAGAGAGGATACAGAATCATTTTGTACATTTTTTGATTTGGTGAACAGTATCCAGTCTGGAAATAAACCAATCAGAATCGGCCTACATAAAATAACGCCTAAGATTCTGTTAATTACGATTACAAACCAGTTGACATATCCTTGATGATTCTTTGAATTATACGTTATCGTGTAAACACAGCGTTACTTTCCGTCTCGTCACTTTTGTGCCGTCACTTACATAGAGCGCACTGTGAGATCGATTAGCCGTCGCACATACCGTTGTTGGCGTAGACGAGCGATACTCGTGATTACTGCGTTTGTCACCAGCTCAGTTTTCCTATTTTAAATCAATGTTTTGCAAAATATAATACTGTAATACATGACAGATGAGTTCCGAAGTTTCAAAGGGGCTAGTATTGTCTTTGTATTTTGTCTCCCTTGTTAACTGATAGACGTAGACTGTGAATCTACGTGGACTGAGATAGCTAGGACACGTGTTATACAAATACCAAGGCACCGCCTTCCTCAACCAGGAATGTTAACTAGGATGGCAAAAGAGTTAGTGGTGGTGGTGGTGGTCAGATGAAAACCTGGCATCAATCCTTGAAATCTTTGTGTGTTAGTGTGAGGCTCGTAGTAGGGAGGTGTGGGTGTGTGTGCGTGGGTGGATCGCCTGGCTAGGGACTTCAAAACGATAAGTGCCAATCAATGGACACTGTTGGTCAAATAGCTCAAATCCGTTCCCAGTGGTACAGACAGATACATTCACTCCTTATAATCTCACACACTCATTAAGTCCTCATGTTTCCCGTGTAATTATTCATCCTCCCGTATATTTCCGCCTGTTATAGTTTTACTGATTCTTTTTATTTCATCCCACTTGAACTGTCGGACTTCTGTGCAAAGTTCCGCGTTGAAATATAGTCCGTCAGTCAATCAACAATGTAATAATTCATTTGTGAATGAGTAATAATATCAAATAGAAAATTCACCAAACTACAATTATAATATATAAATCTACCCTTTTTCAAATTCCCTTTCGCAGAATTGATGAATCATTGAAGACTATACCCTACTATTCATTGCTTACTGATAATGAGAAAAACAACTCTAAAAGTCAAAAAGAAGTAAAACAACAAAAAGTTACCTCATTCACAGAGAGAAAAGAAAGTGAGAAAGAAGAACGGAAGGAAGAAGGAGAAGAAGAACGGGAAGAAGAAGGAGGAGGAGGAGACTCAAGTGTTACTGACTACAGATATGGTGATGAGGAGAGCTCTAGTCGTAATACTGACAGTTGTTCTAGCAGGCATAGTAGCAGTAGTAGTACTGGTAGTTATTGTAGTACCATCAGTATTCATAACAATGGCAATTTTAACAATAACAATACTAGTCAGGATGATAAAACAAGCATTTCAACAATGTCGACAATAACAATGACATCAACACCGACAGAAAGGTATACTACTACAACAGATGATGCGATAAGCAATACAATACATTCATTGTCTGTACATGATGCTGAAAACAGGAGAAGAGTCAGTCTCAATAGTCATCGAACAAACAGTCTTTCTGGTAGTGAGCTAATCATCAGAACAAAAAATGAAACTGATAAGGGAAGAATAAAAGGAGACAGAAAAATGAAGAAGAAGAAGAATAGTCTTAGCAGCAGTGTTTCGAGTAAACTGACAACTGAAATACAAATTGTGTCAACAGATGAAGAGGAAACTAGACAAGGTAATGAATATAATGATGATGATGATAAGTATAATGATTACAAGTAGAAATAAAATAAAGGAATTCATATAATAAACATTGTTTTCAACGAGTATTTATCCTCACACCCGACCTGCTGTACCCTAGTGGTAACGACTTCCCACTAGAGCCCACCCAGGTAACTTCCTACCTGGATAGAGCCAGTGGCTATTGAGTATCAGATTGAAATTAGAGTGTCGGTTTTCAGGGATTTGATTTGATCGGTTACAGGATTTCATCATGAGCTACCATCGGTTTGGAAACCCTTGGTAAACCAGTAGGGAGTACCGGACAGCTGTTCCGTCAGTCTATTTTGGGATTCTTCATCAGTACGCACCCATTGACAGAGTTCGAACCCAGGGCCTTACGATTGCCAGTCAGGCTCATAGACAATTCAGCCACTGAGACCCGATCCAGTGGCCAGCCCATGAATTCCAACTTTTGCCGATTCACGATATTAGGTGCGACTGGCACCAGTCAATATCATCGCTGGCGAGTGTATTTGTCTTCAAACCACACCTGCAGTAACCCACTAGTCACGACTTCCCACTAGAATTAAATGAACATGATGATGATAATGACAATAATTACGAGTACACAAGTAAAAACAAAAAAGGAATTCATGTAATAATCATAGTTTTTATTTGTTTATTTAACTGTCTGTTTTCGGCTTTTTTTTGCTTTAGATAATAAAGAAATGCATAAATCTAAGAAACACTGTCGAATAATAAGACGAACAGAAACTACTCCAAGTGATTCAGAACAACTGCAACGACATTTAAATAAAGGTAAATTCACAAGCAGGTAAATGAGTGTGTGAGTGAGCGAGTGAGTGATAAACCCAAAGACTTCTTTATTGATCTATCTAACCTACTCACATAAGAAGTAGACAAATAATTTATATTGAAATAGTATTTTATTATGCTACACCAAATGTGAAATGATAATATAGTTATGAAAAAAACAGTCATCTGATCACTAGATAGTAATATGTATAAATAGTGTCCCGATTAATTTTTAATAATCAATTTCTACGTATCACTTTTATCTAGAATGTTCTACCTGAATAAAATTTCCAACAAGTCACCACCCGTTGGTGAATTTGGCAAATTAGCTTCTCGTTATCAGATCACACTTTCACTCACATTTGTAGCACACTAAGTGTGTGCTACAATACGCCACATGAAATAGCTCATATAGACTGAACAGAAGCTATTTTATTATTTTGTCAGGATTACGGGTACAAGCTGAGCTTCAAAGCAATGAAGTTCTTCTCCTTATCCTTATAATATCCCAAATTAAATGACTCTATTAATCTACTGTTACAAAAGGTTATATACACATATCTAGACACAGTTAGACGATCTATTTAACCGCAACAATTTTTTTGCTTTGCTTCGGTTCGAAGTTTTGAAGTTCCAGTTGTGATGATTTCGCTTTAAAGGGTAGAGTCAGTGAATTGAAGTCCAGCCTTCCTTGTTTTCCAAACTTAGCGCCGGATAGTTGACATTTAAGAATACGCTGACGAGGAATCGAACCCAGACCACCCGCGAGGCTTACGAGCATTCTACCATTGAGCTATCGATGCATAACCGTAGGGGTGACTACGATGAAACGTGAAATGGATGGATTTACATGCTCTTGGCAACGAGCAATATTTATTGTATAAGGTTGGCCAATCATACTACCTGGCTGCCGAAACCTGAGTGAGTAAATAAGTAAAGCGAGATTTGAATCCATGAACTAGACGCTTCAATTAGTGAATGAATTACAACTCCACAAACTTCAAAAAGACATCGCTTGTTAAGGCAACTTCTTTGCAAAAAGTTGCCGACATACTTAGAAGCCTGATCGATTATGATTATTATTGTTATTGGGGCCTTAACAGTACACCTCCGCTTTGTCGTATTCTCTGCAGTCCTCTTCAGCTGTTTCCATAGTTTCTCACCTACTTCTCACTTGATTTCCTCCATGTCACTCTCGTCGTTTCTCATTCGAGTTCTACTTAAGCAATATCCTGGCGTAAGATGTTATCCAATGGTCTCCTCAGCGTGGGTCAGATTCATTTCCACCTTCTTCGAGATACTTGCTGAGCAGTGGGTTCTTGGTTAGTTCCTTCTCAGAGTTTCTTGCTGTTGATTCCTTCTGGCCAGGCATTTGATCTTCAGTATGGAGCCAGCGTAGGAAGCTGCTTATAAAAGTCTGTTGGAAATCACAAAGTTGCTGTTTATGCTGAGGAGTGCATAAGATCTCCAAACTGATTTCAGAGTTATGAAGGTCTGGTTTTGAAATTCTCACCTGTGCCGACTGTCTGTAGTTGAAACGATGCTGCCTAGATAAGTGAAGGAAGAGCCCTCTTTCAAATTTATTCCGTTGACAGTGATTAGTACTTGTCGTTGTTGTTGTCTTCATTACCTCCATCTTCTCTGTGTTCACTTGATATCCTGTCTTTGCTGCCAGCATCTTCTGACAGTTTATTGGTTTCTGTCTGTAAGTCTTCAAGTTTATGTGAAATTAGACGTAAATTATCCACGACGTGGAGATCTTCTAGATTCTTCTTATCAGTCCAACGTATTCCTGTCTTCTGCCTCCCCACGCACGGTGTGCGGCATAATCCAGTTCACAACAATCAGAAATATCATCGTTGGTGATAGTAGGCAGCGTCAGATCGACTATGACAATGATTACACAATCACGCATACATTTCAGCTTGCTATCTCCCTAATCTAATAATCTCCATTCTCTTTGGGTTTTTTATAATCACTTGTATTATGTGCACAACACACTTACTGAGATGACTGATCACTCATTATCTCTCATCAAACGATATCGACTCATCGCTTTTCGTGTTATTTGTAATCGGTTGTTTCTTCTTGGTATGAATTAGATGCTTCTGAGATTGTAAACTAGTTAACATTTCTTGCTGATTGGTGCCACAGGATTTCATCATGAGCTGACATTGGTTGGTTACAGAACCACTGGAAAACCTTGGAGAACCAATCAGTTGTTTCGTCCCAGTTTGGAACTCTTCCTCAGCCTACACCCGCCGCCGGCACCTTTGGGTTACCTTCTTCCGATTCAGGATATAGCGTAACCACAAAACAGCTGTCCAGTACTCCCTGGTGGGTTTCCCAATAGTTCTCTAACCGATATCAACTCATGATGTAATCCTGTAGCCAATCAAATTAATATCCCGCAAACCAACACTTGAATTTCTAGCTGATATTGTACATTATCACCTAAATAATCTGTCTGATACATAACTTCTCTACTAGGATAAATGTTCTTTATTGAGGCTGATGATTAAAACCAGAAGATCAATTTCAGGTTGAAACTATCACAAGTTTTGATCATTTAATGCTATGACCTTGTCAGACTGTGGGGAGCGAGGAGACAGGAATACACTAAACCACCGATAAGATGACTCTAGAAGATCTCGATTCCGCAGATGATATATGTCTTATGTCACACAAACTCGAAGACTTGCAGGCGAGAAGCAACAAACTGGCTGAAGAGGCAGGCAGCGAAAACAGGACTTCGGGTGAACATAGAGAAGACGGAAGTAATGAGGATAACCAAAGAAAGGCAACAACAACCACTGATCATCATCAATGGGAGAGATTTAAGAGAGGTGACATCTTTCACTTATCCTGCTAAGAAGGACGGTTTCGACCATAGGCCGGCGGAACCGATGAAGGTGTCAAGGCAGGCCAGAATTGGAAAGGCAAAATACACCTTCACCAACCTGAAACCAGTTTGGAAATCTGTTCTCTCTCTCTCAGCCAGCATAAACAACAAGATTCGGATTTGCTACACAAATGTAAATTCAGTCAGTCAGTTCTTCTATACGGGTCAGAAACTTGGCCAGCATGTCACGGAAAGGATTTACAACAGCTGCCCCCTTCACAGACTCCGTATTGAAGATAAAATGGCCAGAAAGAATTAGTAACAAGGAACTCTAACGATGAGAAACCAATCAAGAGCCGATCACTCGACAAATATGTAGGAGAAAATTGATTTGGATAAGGTATAAGTTGAGGAGACCATCGAATGACACTGTGAGTATTGCAGGCCATTGCTCGAGTGGAATCCTAATGAGAGGCAACGAGTGGGTTGTTAGTGTGAGGGTAACATGGAGGAGATTGTGTGAGCAAGAGATGAGAGAGTTTGGTCAATCGTGAACCCAGATGAAGAGGACTGCAAAAAACAGAACAAAGTAGAGATGTGTTGTTGAAGCCCTGTGTTCCACTCGGAACCCGAAGGAATAATACTAATGTAATATCATAATGTTATAACCCTCTGAAGTTATTGCTGACAGTTTAATAAAGAGGTAAATGCTCTTTTTATTTCCTTCCTACTCCAGCTCTTCTTAATGCCTCACGTAAAGGTACAACTGAACATCATATTCAATCCTTATTAAAAGCTGGAGCTAGTATACAAGCAATAGATAAATATGGAAGATCGTGTTTACATTTAGCAGCTAAATTTGGTCGAGATAAAGTTGTTGAATATCTTTTAAAGTATTGTAAGTAGATTATATTTCTTCTCTTTTCTTTTTCATATTTACCTATTTAAATAATTACTGACTACTGAAATTCGTGATGGATGTACAAAATTGATTGGATAACAGTTGCTACTAGGAAAACGATCATCTATAGAGACGCATGAGCATTCCGTATAGTGATATTCTTTGATGACAACTCTGTCACTCACTTAAACAAAATTATATGCCACTGATGAGTTCCCAAAACAAAGTGGAGCTCTATTAGATGGTTGGAGGCAATCGGCAGAAAGCCCAGCCTGATCTAAGTTTCGTACTTGTTAAGGCACTTACCAGTCAGCAAGGTGTATCTGTAATGTCTTGGAGGAACTCATGTCCCTTCTGAGATTCGAACCTGTGTCACCTAGTACTGCAGTCAGTCAAAAACATGTTACTATTGAGTTATTCTGGCTCGCATTTGACCTGCTGTCGGACTGACTGTATTGGATACTTTACTGACTGATGAGTGCCAACAACCACGAAACTTAGTTCAGACTGGGCTTCCTTCCGATTACCTACAGTCATCTAAATAATAACAACAACTCTGAGTGCACACCGTGATGGTGAGCCACCTAGTGGCATTTTGGCCACATTGTAAACTTGACTGATGGAATTCAGCCTGCAGTAAACAAAAGACTAGACGGATGATACTAATTGTTAACTACTGCCCAATCATAGTGAATTCCATTGTGATATTATTCTATAAACTGAATATTGAGCAAAAAAAATGAAAACTACGAACCAAAATCAGTCTAAGAGGACATTGACAACCAGGGAGAACTGGACAGTTGCTTCGTCCTATCTTAGGACTCTTCAGTAATTCTCAGACACGACCTCCCCCCCCCAAGGATCGAACCCTGGACCTTAAAGTCACAAGACCAAGTTCATTGACCACTCAGCCAGTTCGTGATACAGTTCTACTATCAACCGATGAGCATTTGATTCACCCTTATAATAGTGGACATGCTGCCCAGTGCTCCCTGGGAGTTTTCAATGATCTTCCAAACTGATTATGTTTCGTAACGAAATCTGACAGCTGAAATTAAACTACAGGATTTCACCATGAACTGACATCGGTTAGAAAACCAGCTGAGAGTACTGGACAACTGTTTCGTCAGCCTAGCTTGGGACTCTTAATCAGTATGCACACACCTACAGGGTTCGAACCCAGGAGCTCCTGGTTACAAGACTAGCTCGTAGACCATTAAGCCAATGGGACCCAATCCAACGACCAGCCAGCGCATGAATTCCAACTTCTGCCAACTCACGATAGTTTTCCTCACACCCGACTTTCTGTATCCCACTGGTCACGACTTCCCACTGGAACCCAGCCACGTAACTATCTACCTGAATAGGGCCAGTTAAAATTAAATCAGTCCAAATCCCATAATCTAAAGATCTAGATAATAAGGGATTATCGGACAAAATCAATAGGCATAACATTATTCTGATGTGAGTGTTGCATTTATTCCTACACTGACAGGTGAAACTGATTTATGCGTAACAAATTATCTTAAACAGAAATAGAAAAGATGTCACACTTAAAATAGAAATAAATTTTGGCTGATGGTGACTAGTACAGGAATCCAAAATATGGATTTCATCCAATTCTGGACTCGTCAGATGGATGTACCTACATATTTCGTATTTGATTCGATGCATTAGAAGTTCATTCAAGTAATCAATCAGTTTTCGGGTGGTTTGAACTGATTTGGCTCTCTAAACTGAGTCAAATCTGGTACTCACTTGATCGGCTCGGCCCCAAACAGGAGAAATAGTCATTAGATATTTAGATTCTTCCGATTTGGCTACCCATCAAGCACTACTAGTCAATGTGAGTAGCATCCAACTACCCATGCTAATCAATCAGTTTCATATGCTGTCATACATTCACTACACAATACTGAAGGTGATTACAATATAACACTTGGACATTGTCATAGAAAAGCTTGCCTTACCAATGAAGCATATATAGTTGGATATGAGGTATACCAGAACACAATTTACGTTAGATAATAAGTTGTTTCATGAAACCACTATATCATGATAGTCTGTTTATTCACATTTAAACTCTAAATGGTAGTTTGTAGAGAATAAACATCGCTTGTCCACACACCTTATAGAATGTAAAAATAGATAATGGAATTACTGTCTAAACTTACATGTAGCTCTCATTATCCCACAAACAAATGTTATACCAGTCTGTATTTTACGCCTTACATCTTACCTGGAATTCAAGCCTGAGACCGTTTAAATGAAAAGGTTAACTGTGATTCAGAAGTATAACTATTTAAATGTTCATTCTTAACTTATTTAATTAATAGAGGAAGGCGCACCTCAAATGTGATTAAGAACTGATTTCACTTGAAGTGCTATTGAAAACAAGGGAGTAAATGATACTTGGTTTCGACTTAATTTAAGACTCTGCAGCAGCATGTGCTCATGACCTTACCAAGGTTCGAACCCGGAGCCTTCAGGTTACACGGGCGAGCTAATTGACCATTTAGCCATTGGGACGGAATCCAATGACAGAATCAATCCTAACCTCTTCCAATTTGCGATCTATGGCATGACCGCCAGTCTGTCTCATCATTGTAGATCCTGGGGATCACTACTTCCCACCAAAACTTCAGGCCACATCATCATGTAGTTAGTAGTGAGTGACTAGAGTGGATTAGACTACGGTTTTCAACGGTTCACTAACTGAAGACAGTTTGTGGTCAACCATGAAATCAATGAAATACTTGAAAATAGTGACAAGCATGTACTTATTATTTGTACTTATTTCTTGTTAATGGGAATCAATATTTCAATACTTTAGTTTATCTTTGCAACATAACAATGTTAAAATCAAATATTTATTGACTTTGTCTAGTTCCAACAGAATTACTGGATCTACAAGAATATGAAAAGTAAGTATTTCTCATTATATCTTCTTTCATTCAACCAACTGTCTGTGTATATATTGAAATATATAATCCGTTTGATACACAATGACTGACAGCAGGACTATGCGTTACATTAACAAGGTTCCGTACAAGGTTTTCAGGCTTTTTTTATCCCGACTCGGATAGCGAAAACTGTTAAATACCTAGAATTCTACTTATCTACTTGACAAGGGAGTGTTAACGAACGAGCGGAATCAAATCAAGTGACTGTAAACTCTGTCACCTAAAACAAAGATTTTGCCTGAAAGTTTGGGAGGCAAGAACTGATTCAACTCTATGATGTCGACCATCAATGAATTTACTATCGAGATCATTTTCAAACGCGTGAAAAAAAACTGTCTAGAGAACACAATTGACCTATGCGTAGCGGTCAATAACTGATATCAGCTAGCAGTGTACGTTGTAAAGTAGGATTCATTTAGAAGAAGTTAAGGATAAGATCACCGACAATTAATAGTGTAAAATGGTATGACTGAGAATTTGTCACCACTAGTACTGATGCACTTCCCCTTAATTCTTAATCTTAATTACAATATTGTATATTGAACTGTTATCGTTCCCATCCTTCGTCATGCTATCAAATGCGAAGGCCATATTTAAGCTGTTATACATTAAGGCCACTATCTGAAGTAATGCGTCAGTCGTCCAGTGGTAGCATAAATACCAAACACGTACGTAGTTCAGGGTCTAGTCCCGGGCTGACACACATCCAAGCCTCGTTTAACCAGCAGTAAGAGAAGAAGATTTGGTGTGAGGCTAGCAACACCCCTGCTACAGCAACTTCAAAGTTCAAGTTTGAGTCCCTATGTTTCACCCTGAAATAATAGAGATTTGTAGCTCAGGCGGATGATTTTGATGTGGTTGTGTTCCTGATATGAAGTCTATTCTGTTGCTCAGAAAGACAATGAAAGCTTCACAAATAAACAAGCCACTCGAATCACAAGAAATAATACAGACAACAGTGACTTACACGATCTAGTTCATTCACATGATCCTACTATCATAGATAGCACTGAAGCTGAAATTAAATTGAATGTCTGGTCTTCCCACATCATGTTAGTTTCTAGGATGATATTCCGTCTATGTTAGGAAATTAAGACAATCTGGTATCACTGTCTCTACTGTTATAGTTTGTTAGTTCTTGTATCCCACTTATTCTTCTTTACTGTTCCACCTACTCTTAATCCATCTTAAGTTACTTAAGAAAGACTTTGATACACTGGAAAGCGCACTAAAATCTATCAGTGGAGCAACTAGGGTGTCGCTAAATCAACTTGTTAATACTGTTGTTAATATTATCTTGTCGGACCCTAAGTATCCTCTCTATACACAACTCAACTACAAAAGACTATGATCGGATGACTAAGTATAAAAACTCTACGATACTTTATTTGGCACACATTGTATGCGATGAGAAAAGTGTAAGGCGTGACACTGCCAACTTAAGTCAATGACCCTTTTTATTCTTCCTTTCATTATTCTATTCTGACCAATATTTTCACTTAAACTTTAAATCGATAGCCATATTCTTATGGAACAATATTATCAATGCAAATGCACTGTTCAATTATTCCCCCTGTATGCTATGTAAAGAGAAAACTAGATGTGATATTGTATTACACGCTGAAAACTCCATAACGCATCGAAAGTTCCATTTGACATAAAGCCATTATTTGAATAAGGCATTTAGAAGACAAATTTCGTGAGATGTTATCTTCATTTCGTAGTTTCTCTACAATCGCTTTACTACTAACATGGTCAACAATAATAATAAAATAAAATGCCTGACAATTACTCAGTTATATAAAAAACAAAGTACATACTAATGACCAATCATATTTTTAAATAGGTCAAGTAGTTCATGTAAGGCGAAGGTTGAAGTCTATTGTTTTTTGTACACACAGTTTAGGCTGTATGTTATTAATCCAAAAGGCTTCCATCAAATTCAACAACCTTTAATTAGAATTATGTGAAATAATTGTGAGTCATTAATATTGATTTTGTGACCTGAGATGAATAAGTGCTTTGCAATGGATGGTGCTGGATTTCTATTCAGATTAATTGCAATGAGATATTCTGTACGTTTTAATAACCATTTTGGAACATTTTCTTTTCGACGACATTGGAACATTCTATTGGTTCTACCTATATAGGTGTCACTGCAACTGCAGGTTAACTTCTAGATACAGCTTGAAGTAGAGTCAGCAGAATTTCTTTTATTATTGTTAACCATGTTAGTTGTGGAGAAACTACGAAATGATGCCGTCATCTAGCGAAATTTGTCTTCTAAATGCCTTATTCAAATTTACCAAAGCCATTATTATTATTATTACACTATTTATTCATACTACAAAATCCTGGCGTATGGAGAATAGTATTCACTCCTATACTAGGAAAAGAAATCAAGAGAAATTGTAGGAGTACATAGTGGAGTACTAATCAGTTACTTCAGTATATACATAACAAGCACTCTTTTTCTGGTACGTCAATTCATTGAATAACACATTGCAATGACATAACATATGATGACATGATTTTGCATATATTTTCAGAAACCAAACAGCACTACACAAAGCTGCAGCAACTCGTCGAAGAAGTATATGTGAAAATCTTATCAGCGCTGGAGCTTGTCCAACTATAACTGATATTCACGGGAAACAACCGAGTAGTTTAGCACTTGAAGCCAATGACCCACAATTAGCTACATATCTAAGAAGTAAGTTAAGAATTTAAGTCAACTTAAAAAAATACTCTCTAACCTTTTCTTTTCTTCTTTGTTTTCTTAGGAGAAGAAATACTCTTTCTTATTACGAATAGTACTCAAAAGATTGAAGTATAAACAAATGGATGGTTACACCAATTTAATGTGTGGTATACTTAATAACTTAATAATAAAAATGCCTGAAAGAATTCCTGTGATACTTATTTAAACTGAAGAAAAAAAATTTTGTCACTGAAGTTTTGTTTTTGTACTACACAAATTTACTTAATATAATATATACATACTGATAGATATATTGATTTGTTAACTTTCTGCTCACACACACACACACACACATACAAGTGAATCTGATGAACTAAGTATTTTAGTTCTGTTAAACATGTAACCTGGCATCTTCAATAAAAGCAACAAAGTTTAATTTATCTGACTGACTGGTTTCAACACAGAACTTTCCAAAGAAGTGCAGCAGTTCGAGCTGACACATCCCATGCAGTACATACAGAGGAAGACAAGAGAGCAAAACAGAGATTCGAAAGGATAACATTCAGGTGAAACGTGAGGGAAACAGAATAGGAATATGGGAAAAATAATAGTTTTATAGGGTATGGAAGAGCACAGGGAGTAAATGCCATTGACGACGACTTCGAGACATATCAACAATTTCCTCCAAACATTGGTCCTTACCATCCTGAGGACCCTAACTAGGTGGTAGTCTACACTTCCCGATGTGACCGCCTCAAACTAACTGTAGAAGACTTTATAGACTGGTGCCATCTTTTCGTTAGACTACCCATATCTACTTTCGAACCTAATCCTATGCCAGTAAACATTGCCCGTCGACGAAAGCGGTGGCTAGGCATGTGCAACACATGCCCTAGACAACTCAATCGATGTAGCTTCACAACCTCACCTCATCGATGACTAACCTCAATATTACTCACTCCACTATACCACGCGGACACCAACCGTCGCAGACAGCTAACTTTTTCATATTTTCCATCTCCAATATCCGTATCTCACAGCCATAAAAAAGGACGAAGTGAATTGCTCTAAACAGTACACGAGTCTGTTGATTGACAGCATCATCATCAGAGATGACGTAGGTTGGCAAATGACACACAAGCCTTTTGTGTCCGTGGTGAGATTTCGTCAGCGATCAACCTGTTGGCACTGGCTGATACAACTCATAAAATAAGTGAAGTGGTAAACACGCTCAGTCACCACTTCACTCTCTATCTTAACGCTAGGAGTTAATTTAGTCCGATCCCTTAGCATCATCTTACATTTGTCGGGAGCGAATCGTATGCCAAACATTCGAAGGTTGCAACTCAGCACAAGGTGTTCAGAAGACGCAGCATTCTGTCAGCATCTTCACCTCACCTATAAGGACCATATCACCTGCATATTCTAAGTTAACGAGATTACACACTGGTAACAAGTCAATCCCTGAGTCGCTGAAGTCAGTCAGGGATGAGTTCATAAGTACATTTATGATGAAATTAAACAGAAATGGGAGCAGTGGGCATTCCTGACAGATACGACTGGTCCTCATCATTTCAGATGACAACCTGATTTCTTCACTATAAGCAGCACAGTGTAACTGATCCACTTCAACAAATGACCACTATGAATAATACAAAACGACTGAAGCTCAATTATGAATAAACTAACTGTAGCTGACCTAGGTAGTTAAGCGACCAAATCGTACGCCATCAATAACTTGGCACAAAGAATAAATAACGATAATAGGAGAAAATTATTTCGTCAGACAGTTCTAATTCATCTGCTTACTAAGCAAACGAATACATCGCATACCTCAACTATCTGAGTAGAGTAATTCATAGAATCAGAGAAAACTAATAAAGAATTGACACATCGTGGAATTTCTTAAGTTACAAAAGAATGCGATGAGAATAAGGAATAAATGAAAAAGAGAAGTAGCGCATCTCATCAACTTAGTGACTAGTCTCAAAGTAGTCACACTTAAGCCAGCCTTTTAATCGCATTAAGTCCTCCTTCAAATGACAGTTATCAGTTTTAAAGCGATTAGGAACTTCAGGTTAGCCATGACACTAAATGCTTCCGGGTAGACTTATATCCACGGCCACTTCCAACATCACCAACTCACAATGTTCTGTGTGAAGCACTTCCCCCAACTGTCTGTTTTCGACATAGAACTTTGCACATATGTGCGGCAGTTCAAGTCGCCACACCCCATGTAGCACACAAAGCAAGACAAGAAAGTTGAAGAATTGCATATTAGAGACAGTAAACAGAGGTGTGAGACAAAGGATCAGTAATAACGAAGAACAAAACAGTTTCATTGGAAATCATAAGTCACAAGGAGTGGATGCATCTGCGCTATTCATTGAGAACGATTTTGAGCCATATCACCAATCGTTTCCAACCATTGGTTTTTACCGTCCCGAGGACCCCAACCAGGAGGCCAGTCTACACCTTCCTACGTGGCTTAGGCTAACTGTTGTAGATTTCATTGACTGGTGCCATGTTTTGGTTTGACCGACGCTAGCTCTTTTCCAGCCTGACCCTACATCATCTAACATTTCTCGTCGAGGAAGTCGATGACTAGGCATACGTAACATGTCCTAACCATCTCAGTCGATGTAATTTCACAGCCTCGTCGATTGATTTCCCCTCCTTACCTAGCACTCGATGCCTAACCTCAATATTACTCACCTTTTTATACCACTTCACACGGGAGATAGAAAGCAGACACCTATGATCAAAGACAGCTAATCTTTTCATGTCTTCCCAATACACGCATTCCAATCAACGGACTTTACTTTCAAGCGATGAATGTAGAATTCGAACCCTCCTTCTGTATAACCAGATTTAGTCGTCGTCAGCCTTCACACAACATACATAAATCCCTGGCCAGTACATAAATGCAAGAGGTTAGATTGTGATCCCACCAACAGGCAGCTTACTCGGTAAATGTTGTCAAGCTATCATACACAGTAGTGAGCATTCAACCGCCCAACAAGCGGAATTTATCGGTAGTGACCTCATGAAGAAATACATTCCCATCTTCAGTACTCATAAAAGACTGGTGAGAGATATCTTCGAAATGTTGACTTGTTTATGCCAGATCACACAACTGATGACAAACTACCACATTGGTATAGGAGTCTAACTGCACGCTGGAAATCCCTCAGCTTTTCTGAACATGGAGAAAACTACAGATCCTGTCAAATAAATACTGAAGTTGTTTCTTCGCAGAATAGAATTTATGTCAGTCCGGATCATTAAATGTATCCCGTAGTTCCGTATGCAGGATGCCTTTGAGATGGTTATTCACGAACTTCAAGACAAACCTTTATAATAAGCGGCAAAGCAAATTGCAGTATGAAACTTCTAGAAACATCCAAGGTTTGCCTGTAAATTTTGGATAAGGCTTGCATGGGTCAAAAGCCTCAACCTTCTGCTACTAGGTTTTTTGCAGCATATGACACTCCTTAGGGTTCTTAAAGATTGTAATTTGCCATACTTCTCCTAGTCAGTCGAATCTTCATGAGGTTTATTGCGTTGAACACTGAGTCACAAGCACCAATTAGACAGTGGAACACTTTGCTTCGCAACACTAACGCGCTCAAATCATGAAAAGACCGTCGAAATTTTCCCAGCTGTTCCACAAAATTACCTATTTACCTATGAAAATTCAATCCCCAGATCAACAGTTACTACATTTACAGAAATCACCTCACCCAAGCAGAAATCCTGTCACATGTGTTCCAACAATCCTCTTCACAAATCTATTTTACTGATGTGGGACTTCAGAACCCCACTGATATACAACTACTAATACCTACATTCACATGTAACTACAAGTAGATCTCGAAATTAGTGAATCACCTTGCTTTTCCTCGTTAGATGAATGAGAATCTGACTGTGACTCGTAGATAAGTAGCCCCGATAAGCTAGTCTATACACGAATTTCCGGTAGCTGTTTAATATACGTTATTGTAAAATGAGTCTCGTCTCTGCAAAGGAGTTTGTTTCATAAAGAATTCTAAGTAACGAGTGAAAGAAGGCAGTGATACTTAAACACTTTTGACAGAAGCAGACAGTAGTCAGAGGAAGCAGATGGAATAGAGACTACGGTTTTCTGGGGGGGAACACCACAAAGGATATCATCTCACTACCTTCGTCGTGGACACCAATTAAATAGTTTTAAAACATAACGTTAAATGCAGAACTCAGCACTCTTTGGTCCTTATTGCCTCAAAATCTACCCGCCATCTTAATGGATTTTTGACATACTGAGACGCATAACCCTAACTCCGTGTCGCTGGCATCTTGGTACCCACGAATACAGTTTTACAAATGGAAGGCCTTGGTACGAAATGTGAAATTACTCAAAGTATGCATTGCTTAAATGAGAACAGAGACACCAAAATCTGTGTAAAAGTATACTGAAACAAATAAATGCCTTAACAAAAGTTTTCAGTGGTGATAATAGATTAATTATCTATAACAAATGTCCGTAATCCGATTGAATCATCGGTACCCAGGAGGAGGTGGTGGTGGAGGTGGATATCCTCGTCCGACAGTCACTGGTGGCATTCCGCGACCAAAAGCAGCAGCTGGAGGTGCACCTGCTGGAGGAGGTGGGGGCGGTGGCATTCCTGGGAGGGCGCGAGGCTGCATCAGACCTGGTGCTGGTGCCCCAACTCCCCACACTGGCCCACCTAAACCAGCAGGCGGGATAGGAGCAATAGCTGCGGCAGGTGTGGCGAGAGGCATACCACGGCCAACTGCAATACCGGTCAGTGGTTTCATTCCAGTTGCCCAACCACCAGCTGTAGGGAGTGGGACACGTGCAGAATCCTCAGGAGGTGGAGGGCCATCGACATTCATGGTTACCTAAAAAGAAGATAAAAGTTTTGATAATTAAACTTTCCGTGAGAAAAAACAGCAACTTGTGTGTTTAAAATACCCATGCAAGCAGCACACTAACAGAAAATGAACGGAACACCCTTTAAAGTCAAAATATCAGTTTCATAAAATACTAGGAATCCTGAACCTCAAAACATTAAAAATCATCAATAAAGAACACTATCTATGCTCAGGCTTTTGACAAATCATATTAATCTTCTGAAGAATTACTATTACTAGATAGTCCCAACCTTGTGTGAAGTGGGGTTTATCTTCGTAATTCACTACTCGTAATTCAGTTCAGCAAGCCTAAGTCCTGCCAAAATAAATTAGCTAAAATCACTGGTGAACCATTTCTGACTATTACACGTTTACAATATGCCAAACACGATTAACGATAGAAGACGAATCACAACACCAATATGAAGTCTAAAATGTGGTTTAACACCGCAGCAAAAATCTGGAACCCCTGCACATTTATGTGCTAGGTAGTGAGAACATTTTAATTTGAAAACGAATAAGTCGAAACATATATTCACTGACTGGACAGACACACAAGTGCTTGGGTCGACAAACTACACTCGAATAAACTAGGTGAAGCCAGAACTTGAAAGTTCAGAGGCAGGTCTAGCAGTTCTACTTCACTACGAAACGAAATGCTTAGAGATGCAGTCTGTAAGTTTAAGCATTCAACTTTCACAGGTTTGAGTTCTGGGAAGTCAGCTAGTATCAGCAGTCTTCACAATAAGCATGGCAAACGGTTATTATTATTAGCACTCCTTACTGCATACAGCATTCACCCAACCCAGTGACCGAATTCCATGGAGATAAATGCATACCACTGTTTAGGTTGACTAGATAAGCTGAAGGTGTGAAGTCAGGAATCCTCGCGATTTTTCACGTTGTTACGTTCGGTTGCTCATGTACGATACCCAGTTAGGTGGATATCATTCCACATCACCGAACCCCATAAGCACTTCTGGATGATCACAATGTTTGCTCCGGTAAACTGACTGTCATCTGATCATACCGAATAAGTACATTTCGATGGCTGAGATCTATATGCTGTCAATGTACCACATCGCTCAGCATGTTCGTAGTCATCCTCTATCGTCTAGGTCACAGATGCACGAACAAGCGCCCTGTGTTTCACCCGTACACCTAGGTTTGACCGTAGATTATGCAACAACCTTCACTGTACCCATAAATTTTATCAGGAATAATCTTCCTTCCCGACTATACTTTTGGGATCTAAGTGAGCTGCTACTCTTTTTAAGGGCTACTCTGCGTTATGGAGTGGACTGAAATTGGTTTCAAATGCTGGTTACACAAAACCTCGGGAAAAATATATCACTTAGCCATAGGACGCAACATGAAGTGCGCAAACATTCCCACAGCAAGTAGACGGTAACAAGTATTTCTTGAGAACGTTCGAAAGTACGGTCCTTGCATCTAAGTAACTTGACTGCTATGAGCTAGTAGAGCACTACAGTGTGATCTAGTCCATAACCTAGACTTCACCGACTATCATTACTTGTCTGTGACAAATACTAATGTAACACTTAAGGCTGGTAAGCGTGAGGTCAAAAACCCTCAATAATCTTACTCTGGACAGAATGCTACAAAACTATGGGAGAGCCCCTTGAAATGCAATGCTTCAGACTCGAATAACCTGAGAACTCAGTCCCACAAAGTGTAGAGAAGCAATATGTACGTGAAGTAGGCATTCTCACAAAAACAGAACGCACGAATCTTAAGAAACATGTCAAACACAACCTATAACAAATGCTTATTACCAAGGTATACACAAACAAATTTCATATGAAAACATATCAAAAGTGCTACTACTTACGACGTGTTCTCCCCTCAGAAGAACAAGGCCCAGCGCGCGTTTCTCTTGACGTTCCTTGTCCTGTTTAGCATCCTTCTTTTTAATTTGACGAAACTCATCACAGTCACAAAGTATTATGTTCATATGGCGATCGAATGCCTTGAATGTTCCGACAAGTTGTCGGCCATCCTGCATCGTACATCTCACACGATAATTAACGTGCTGACTAATTTTGGCATTCTTGCTAACAGGCTAAAGAAGGAAAAAATAAAAATACACGCCAACTTACCATAATTCAACTCGCATTAACCTAACCTATGACCTCCAACACGTCTGAGCGCAGTTAAACAAAAGCACTCTTCTTAAAACAAAAATGATAGCCTGATTATATATTTTCGTTTTGCTACTGTAGAAATTTAGTTTCTATCACGCATCATTTCCTCATTGCTTTGAGAGAAGTCTCCCAAACTATTGCAGAATAGTTTCAACTTAGACTTCTTACCGAAAAGTATCAGTATTATTCCCCATCTTCTAAAGTTCTTCGGGAATCCTTTCGAAGTTGTGACCAACACTTGGATTTCAGCCTCAGTATCTTATATATATCCAGAGAGCATTTCATACCTATCTTGTAATAGCTTCAAAACTTCCAGTGACACTACAGCGATCCAAATTCCAGATGCATGTTTAGAAATATACTCTAAAATGAGTCCTGAACCATTGAACTCAGGAAACCACAGCTAGTGATCATTGATTAAGAATCAATGGGGATATTAACACCCAGTTAGCCTGATGATGTTTGAATGTTTCTTCAGTAAGTTAAATCTACTTTGTACTTTTGCTGTGCAGCTACCACTCTACTCAGCCGCCAAAATTTCAGTATAGTCTGCAACCACTAGAGAAGGCAATTTCAACTTATGAAGGGAACAATACCTAGAAATGTAGGATGCTGCTTTTGCTAACAGTTAAAGAAATGAAACTGCTTCCTATCAAAAAATTGTCTGAAATATATCTTTGTTTAGCTTATACGTACAAATTGTTTCAGTAGTACCCTTTTTACAGGTACATTAAGTATATACGTGTTGGTCCTCAAGTAGTCTTCTATTTCTTTGTGGCTGCCTGGTGGCCATCATAATTATTACTCGCATATTTTGGAATTTATTGGAAACTCACATCTTCCTCCAAAGAAGACTCAACCACCAACATGCCAAAACTAAAATGAACAATAATTGTTGACTTTCCTATGGTTAATGATTCCCAAACTAGGATGAAACAGCAGCTGTCCAGTACTCCCAGGTTTTCAATGGTTCTCTAACTGATATCAGTCCGTGATCAACTCGTAATAATTGTTGAGTCTGGGGAGTCTGGCTGACAACCCCATCGCCCATAAACATTCTGATATAGGCTTTCGTGATGCTATCCATTACCGCTAGCCACTGTTTATAGAAGTCTCCCTTCCCTTGTTTCGAGTTTTTTATAGGCGCGTAGCACTGCATAAGTGTAACTTGCTTTCCCCTTCAATTGCATCTTCTATCACTACCATGCGGGAGGAGATTGATTCCCATTGCATAAGAGCTTTAGCAGCTGTTTTTGATATCACGACGACTACACACTGCTTCCATGTGCTCCTTGTTGTCGTCTGGGTGATCGGGGTAGATTACGGACTCTCCAGTTGACAATTATGATAATCCTCATCTATTCCGCCCATTCTTACAGACTCCTTACGCTCCTAAGATATATTTTACATTTCTTTGACAACCTGAGAAGCTTTACCAGCTTCGCGAACTGCACGGACCTTCGACGTCCTCATCTTTGTTTTCAGTTTCAACAAAAGAAGATGAATCATATGACTGGTTTCCCGAAGGCTTTCACCAGCCAGCGTCACTTTTTCCCCCGATTCCAGAGGGGAATAAGTATTTTTTGTATTTTCAATATTACTCTTGAGCACTAAAGTTTCTGTAACCGTTCGGTTGATGCTTTGCGGCGGAATCGCTAGCCCTACCTTCAGCCCTCCTTCTTTTTCCTGGCTTGGGCCCGGCATGAAAACTAGCGGGCTGGTAACTAGGCGAGGTTAAAAAACCACCACTATACCAATATACCACCTTCGAAATGAAGCGATTCATTTTCGGAAATCCTGGAATTATTCTCTCATTTGTACTAGCCTTTTTATTCTCCCCAGAAGTGAAATATGAATAAGGCCTATAGTTATTCTATTATCTCTTGAAATATGTTTCGTTCAATCCATCGACCATGACTAAGTTTCTCACAAGTCCGGGGGAATAAATTCCATAGAATGCCTTAATATGAACAGCAGACAGCAGGACAAAGTCGACGGTTGAATGGGCTTACAAGAATTCCTACTTCCTAAAAATGTCCTCAGCTGGAGGCTTCTCGCAATCCTCGTGTTGAATTTTCCATGATAACTGTGTGGATTACAGACCTGTTAATTACTTTTGTATGTGAAACTTGAAAAAGTCTAGTAAAAACAGCTTGAAGAGCTTCATGCATTTAATTTTGGTGGTGAACAACGCACTTTCCATAAACGGTATGCTGCATGAATAAAAATGACACTCCACAATAATGCGAGGAAGTCCTTAAAGGTTTTTAAAAGAACTTTTATATTAATGGCTGACTCCAGAGCATTCCAGGGTTCACATGTTTTTATTATAGCTTGAAACCACACAGTATTTTTGGTACAAGTATGGAATTTTCAGCATGTGATACCGGTAGCCAAAATTTTGCAGACCGACCATAAATATCGTGTGTGCGTCGGCAGAGGGTCGAACCTCGGACCATGTGCATGGTCCTAACCGCTGTGCCACCGACGCACAGATGATTCGATAGGAAAGAATAGCTTCTCCTGACCTGTATCATATATCCACAGTCACTAGCAACAAGTGTGGTATTTTCAGATGATCAAAGAAGTTGATCCGTTCAACTGAATCCCAGCTATTTCGCTCCTAGTAGGTAACTTGCTTGCGTGCTTGTAGGGAATGAAAGAAGTTCGTCAACCCAAATGAACATCGGCCTTTTCACCACCAACAACCAATTTGTTTATCCACGCGAACTGAAGAAACGGTGGTCAATTTAGCTTTCAAAGAACAAGGACTCTACAACATCGTCGTGGTGTGGTTGTCTACATTTACACTCCTCAGATCATCGTCAGAAAACACATCTTCCTACAGATCTAAGTGTTTTACTCTCCTTTAGCTATTTGGGGATGTGTTAAGAGCAGCCCGATAACCAAGTTAGATGCTCTAGGCTAAAGAGTTAGCGGATAGTGTGCCGAAAGCTTACGTATAGTGGCATAGATAGCCACGTAACAATCTTGACTATGATTTCTAGTTGAAGCCGATCAGAAGCCAGCTCGAGGTTGCTCAAGCAGCTAAACTAAATGGTTTCCCAGACGTTCAAGTTCAAAATCAAGGTTTTCTTTAGTTTAAGCTTAACTAATAATAATAATTTTTTTCGTGTAAACTGGTAAGTTTACAAGAAATGCATGTCGATTTTACAGGCATGATCAGTTATGTCATAAATTACAATAGTGAAGTATCTTAAAGTAATGCTTTTTCAAAAGTACAAGTTGTTCGATTAGTGTACAAGAAATCAGAACAGGTTAGTGTGAATGGTAAATTGTAAACCCTTCACTAAGGTCATCATAAAGGTTGAGCGCCAACCCAAACTTCGTTCCAGTTCCCAATGATAGTTATGGCCAACCAATGAACAAATATTTGGGTGAGGGCTATGCCCCCACGTGATTAATAGCTATTTCAGGAAGAGGAGAATGTCCTGGGAAGCTGTAAAATGGTATAAAATGCATTTATGGATAGGGCATCACTGGAAGTACATTTACAAGAAATATACAAGCAGCTGGAGACTCCTTTGAATGACAGCATACATTTGTAATGTTTAATGCTAACCATTTTGATCTTCTCATGGAAATATAGCTTTGTTTAAACATTGATGTTGTTGCCGTATTTTTGTTCCACCAGGGCAACGGGAATTTAAGCAAGCAACCATTATGAGCAAGGAGTAAGTTTTAGCTTTATTAAAGGCCCAGGTAGTTAAGATAAAATACAGTACAATAGTTCGTAGATAAAAAGATTATCGTGAGGTAGATAAGTGATATTTCAGTGAGAATTTGCTTCAAAGGTCTGAAAGGTTAGAACATGTAGGGCAAGCTGACCTGTAGGACGCCTAACGAATTTCTGTAGGGCCCATCTGCTAGCATCTTGGCAAGAAGCTGAGCAGGGTCATAGATGTTGGGAGCAAAAACATTTTTTAACTTAGATCTGTACAACCCTTACTGTTTCATTTTTGTTCAGGATCCAGACTCATTTTTAATTCTAGAGCTGTGAAAATGCATATGGCTATCCCAGAGATTGGAGCGATTCGCATTTATGACCACCACCATATCTGCTGATCTCAGTATGCGCCACCCTCCTCCTTTTTTTGATGTTAAGCTGAGATTTTTGCAATAACTGTAGTTGCAGCATTGCATTGGTTTGAGCCTTGACAATCATACAGTATGCTGCACATTAGTAGTTTTCATGTCGAATGCTTCCTATTAGGTCACCAGAGCCATAGATACCTGAGGACATTCTTAGCAGTATCACCTTAAGCATACATGCATGTGTATAAGTACTTGCTACAGACGACTAAGAAATCAAGTTATTTTCAAAAATTTATAAATCACAGAAGTAGTTAGCATTACAGCAACTAAGTTACATTCTTTTTAGCAGATTGAAATGAGTGGTGGAACGATTAGTGGTAAAGTTATGTAGAATGGTCCTGGAGGAAAAAGCTGGTTGACGGAACTAGTTGCGCAGAATTTTCATGACCGATTTTCGTATGGTATGTGTCAGACATTGCAAAGATATGCACCAACTTATGTTATGGATAAAAAATAATTATATATGTAAAATACTAGAAGATATGGTTGCACAACTGACGCAGTACGTTCAACGTTTGCGTTACATTTTAGCTTGATTCGTAGTATATTTCTATTTTTGCTGTGAGACTAGCACAAAAGTTTCTCCAGTTCCACGATTGTAGCCAATAACTGTTTCACTAACTGGTTATGGTTAACCATACACAAAGTCACGAACTCAGTCACCTATTAATCTGATGACTGATAGTACACATATGCTCGCAACAACGAGCAACACAGCTCCCACAAAATATGGAAGTGAGACACACAGCTTGCCAACACGCCGCAAGCGTCAAGTTGCTGTAGCACTACCATCTACTGTGGTCGAAAGTGACAGCAAAACTTTTCTAACAACTATTTGTAGCATTGCTTCTACAAACTCAGCACTTGATCCTGACATAGACCTCTTCACTTCACCTTTTGTACG